CAGCCGTGAAGAACATCATTACGCCTATTGGTCTCGTCGTCGGCTGCGAAGTGGAATCCTTGCGAGTGTCGGCGCTAAACTGTGACTGCAGGACAGCATCAACAGGGCTGAAGCTGGCCGAGGTCCAGTGCATCGTCATTCTGGATGTGGATTACCAATTTCTGTGAAGGTGAAGTGGCTTCGTATCTGTGGAAGAATAAAAAGGTTTTTAGTTTCTTTTCAGCCGCCGCCATCATCTGGATTCTGGAGCTGCCGCCGTCCATCATCAGGTTCTCTGCTGGGGACGTCATTTGCCTGCGTAGCAGCTGCATTAGCGCTACTGCGGCTGATTTCCAATTGTGTGTTGCGAATGGATTGCGCAGCCAGTTCTCGCGTCTGACTTGGAGCAATATTGTTTGGATGGCTTCTGTCAGGCTTCTGTTGCTGTTTGGATTGTGCTCTTCTATCATTGCGACATACCTTGGCCTGGCCAGCCTTCTTGGAATGTGTGGGTGCGTTGCGATCTCACAGGCAAGTAAATTTGTGTGCTGCATTAGCCGAGTGTAGCAGTTCCTGCAGAGTCTGTTATAAACTTCTTCCACAGTTGCTACTTGGAGATCCGCATGCAGTGCGTTGTTGATCACATGCCAGGGAGCATTTGTCATTGCTCTGAGAGCTTTGTTTTGGATCGTCTGGAGCTTGGCCTTGCATCCTTGAAGTCAGTGGCTTCCAGACTGGTATGGCATACTGCCATATTGGGGCAATCAGCTGCTTATAGAGGGGGACCTTTGGAGGTAGTGGGAGTTTGCTGTTTCTGCCGATGATCCAGTCGAGCTTTTTGATCCGGGCCCTTGTTTTAGTGACAACAGCCGCTACGTGCTTATTGAAATTGAGCTTCGTATCCATATGTATTCCCAGGTATGGCATGACAGATTTTTTGGCCAGGAGTTGCCCGGCTAACCTTGGAGCTGGAGTGTGTTGCTGCACAGGTGAGAGAGTGTGTAGAACATGAGCAGTTTTTGCAAGACTGGTGGTTATTCCCCATTTCTTAGACCATGATAATGCATCAGCCAGGAGCCGCTCCACATTTTCGTTGGCTTGTTTTGGACTTAGGGCAGATACGAGGTACTCTGCGTCATCAGCGTACGTTGCTAGCATTTGGGTTGAGTTTGCGGGTCTTGGTGGCTGCGGCATGTCGGCAGTGTAAAGATTGTAGAGCACTGGGCCAAGTACGCTTCCCTGCGGCACTCCAGCGGTTATGTGCATTAGGCTTGAGGTGATGTTGTTACAGCAGACGACTTCGAAGCTTCTGTCTGAGAGATAGCTGGTGAGTAGAATGTATAAATTGTCAGGTATTATCGTTTTAACTTTGCAGAGAAGACCCTGATGCCAGACTCTTTCAAAAGCTTCCTGGATATCCATGTACACAGCACTGCAATGCCGCTGCGCTTCGTAGGATCTGAGGATAAATTGCGTGACTCGTCCGATTTGCTGTTCCGCTGAGTGCTGACTTCTAAAGTCAAATTGATGGTTTGGAATAGCCATGGCAAAGCTTTCTTCTTCAAAGAGTCGCTTGAGGATGAGGCGTTCAAGGATTTTGGAGAAGCCTGTAAGCAGGCTGATGGGTCTGTAGGCCTATCACTCGGCTTTCCTGGCTTCCTTAACATAGAGATTTTTGCGCATTTCCAGGACTTTGGGAAGTGGCCGAACTGCAGAGCCGAGTTGCATATCAACAGCAGATACTCGATGGCAGAGATTTAATGACGCGATTGTCGATACTGTCGATACTGTCGAAATCGGGTGCCTTTTTCGTCTTGAGCTTCTTAATTTCCGATTTGAGTTTCTGGATGGTCACAGGTCTGATTATTTGAGCAGCTTCATCTGGACCGTTTTCTTGTAATACTGCGTTAATTTCTTCTCTGTCTTCTAGGGCTGCCGTGATCTTTGGCGTGAAACGTGCTTCCAGGTGCTGCGCAAAGGCCTCAGCTTTTTCCTCCGTAATTTTGCACCAAGGATCAGCAGGAGCTTGCTGCCCTTCCGCCACGTGCCTTCTGACTGGCAGATGTGGAATGGGCTGTCTCTTGATTGTGTTGGTGAGCCGCCATAGTTTCTGCATGCTGTACCTATCAGTTGGGTCGATGTCGTGTAGCAGTCTGTTCATTTGTTTGTCTTTTTATACCCGATACTCAAAATGAGTATTGGGGTATATTAGATTTGTGGTAAAAGTGGATGTGTGTAACGTCCAGAAGGAATCGTTTCCGACCCCATAAAGTATATATATTCTTGATCAGCATCAATAGCCGAGTCGATTGAGCCATGTGTGTCTGTCCGTCGTCCGTCGTCCGTCTGTCCGTCCCCTTCAGCGCCTAATGCTCAAAGACTATAAGAGCTAGAGCAACGATGTTTTGGATCCAGACTTCTGTGATATGTCACTGCTACAAAAATATTTCAAAACTTTGCCCCGCCCACTTCCGCTCCCACAAAGGGCGAAAATCTGTGGCATCCACAATTTTAAAGATACGAGAAAACCAAAAACGCAGAATCGTAGAGAATGACGATATCTTTTAGACTGCGGAATCTGAATTGGATCGTATTATTATTATAGCCAGCATCAAGAAAACAATTTCATTTTTTCTCGCCCTGTCTCTCTTTAACACACACGTAGCATAGGCGGCTTTGCTTAGAGTAAAACATTAGCGCCTAGATCTCAGAGACTATTAAAGCTAGAGCAACCAAATTTGGTATCCACACTCCTAATATATCGGACCGAGACGAGTTTGTTTCAAAATTTCGCCACACCCCCTTCCGCCCCCGCAAAGTATGCAAATCTGGGGATATTCACAAATCTCAGAGACTATTAAAGCTAGAGTAACCAAATTTAGTATCCGCACTCCTGTTAGATCTCACTATAAAACGCATATCTCAAAATTTCGCCCCACCCCCTTCCGCCCCCACAAAGGACGAAAATCTGTTGCATCCACAATATTGCAGATTTGAGAAAACTAAAAACGCAGAATCATAGATAATGACCATATCTATCAGATCAGATCATTTTTATAGCCAAAAGGAACAAATCAATTTGCAGTGGCTACGCAGCGCCCGACGTCACGCTCAGACTGATTTTCTGTCTCTCTCGCACGCACTCTTTGTCGTGTCGTTTAATATTAGCGGCGCTGCCGGAGGAGAGCCATACTGACTTAGTATCGGGTATAACTGTAGAGTTGCGGTGTCCGCAGCAACTCACAACGTTCCCCCTCGTTGTAGCTTGATCCGTTTACGTATTCTGTTAGTCAGCTGATTGATAGTGCGTGCAATGAGGGGGTTGGAGCACCTATCTTTTTGGTTGATTTTGCAGAGAATTCTTTTGATCTTGATCGCTTTCAGCGTTTGCGAGTCAAGATGAAAGTTTTGCGATCCGTACACTGTGTGCTGGTTACTTGAGGTTTGCGAAGCCAATTCAGCTGCAATGTAAATGTTCTTTTCAAGGAAAGCCACTGCATCATCTATGTCGTCGCCGTTATGAAGTTCAGTCTCCAGATGGATTCGCTGTTCTAGGTGAGCTTGAAATCTTCTGATATTTGCATTTTTTGGTAATAGTATCTTCTTTTTTCCATATTCAGGTCTCAGGAGGAGTTTAATGATTTGCATGTTGTGATCTGAACCTAAGTCATATGATGTTTCAATGTGAATTAAATTGTGTATAATACCCTTATAAACCGCAAAGTCTATAGCAGACGGCATATGTCGTCGATTTGAAGGGAAATGGGTGGGGGATCCAGTGGCCAGTATGCTTTGGTCGTTTTCCTGGATGCATTTCAGAAGTGCAGCCCCTCTTCTACACGATCTTGCAATGCCCCGCCACTGGCTTTTGGCGTTCCAATCCCCAGCTACGATAAATCTGCTACCCAGAGAGTCAAATACCTGTTTAAATTGTGTATCAATCCATTCGTGTGCAGGTGGACAATAGATCGCACCAATGTTTATTGTTTGATGGTTTTTTATTTTTGCAGCTATGGTGCACATCTGGATGGAGTCCTCTCTTGTTGGTGCGAGGGAAATGTGCGGGATGTTGTTTCTGTTGTGTTCGTCTTGCGAACTAAATTGGTAGTCTCTCTTCATGTCGAACCAATTTCCATCGCCACCTGCATTAGCAGGGGGGAGGGAGGCTGACATGAAGAGAGAACCGTTTTATTTGTTTATACTCTTATAATTCGCATATTTTACAAATTGTTTCGCGCCAACTGCTTATCTACATTACATGTAGTTGCAGAAGTGGCTGTAAATTGGCAGGGTAACATTTCTTACGGTATTGGCTTATTTAGGTATTTATTTTTTTTTAGTAGCTATCGATAATTTGGCCTAAATGCCAGGGTAACACTAAACTAATGGCTACTTTGTTTACATTGTTTTTGTTTTTAATTATTTCAGGTGGAGTATGCAGCCGTGAAGAACATCATTACGCCTATTGGTCTCGTCGTCGGCTGCGAAGTGGAATCCTTGCGAGTGTCGGCGCTAAACTGTGACTGCAGGACAGCATCAACAGGGCTGAAGCTGGCCGAGGTCCAGTGCATCGTCATTCTGGATGTGGATTACCAATTTCTGTGAAGGTGAAGTGGCTTCGTATCTGTGGAAGAATAAAAAGGTTTTTAGTTTCTTTTCAGCCGCCGCCATCATCTGGATTCTGGAGCTGCCGCCGTCCATCATCAGGTTCTCTGCTGGGGACGTCATTTGCCTGCGTAGCAGCTGCATTAGCGCTACTGCGGCTGATTTCCAATTGTGTGTTGCGAATGGATTGCGCAGCCAGTTCTCGCGTCTGACTTGGAGCAATATTGTTTGGATGGCTTCTGTCAGGCTTCTGTTGCTGTTTGGATTGTGCTCTTCTATCATTGCGACATACCTTGGCCTGGCCAGCCTTCTTGGAATGTGTGGGTGCGTTGCGATCTCACAGGCAAGTAAATTTGTGTGCTGCATTAGCCGAGTGTAGCAGTTCCTGCAGAGTCTGTTATAAACTTCTTCCACAGTTGCTACTTGGAGATCCGCATGCAGTGCGTTGTTGCTCACATACCGGGGAGCATTTGTCATTGCTCTGAGAGCTTTGTTTTGGATCGTCTGGAGCTTGGCCATTTGCATGCTTGAAGTCAGTGGTCCCCAGACTGGCATGGCATACTGCCATATTGGGGCAATCAGCTGCTTATAGAGGAGGACCTTTGGAGGTAGTGGGAGTTTACTGTTTCTGCCGATGATCCAGTCGAGCTTTTTGATCCGGGCCCTTGTTTTAGTGACAATAGCCAATAGACAATAGACAATCCATATGTATTCCCAGGTATGGCATGACGGATTTTTTGGCCAGAAGTTGCCCGGCTAACCTTGGAGCTGGAGTGTGTTGCTGCACAGGTGAGAGAGTGTGTAGAACATGAGCAGTTTTTGCAAGACTGGTGGTTATTCCCCATTTCTTAGACCATGATAATGCATCAGCCAGGAGCCGCTCCACATTTTCGTTGGCTTGTTTTGGACTTAGGGCAGATACGAGGTACTCTGCGTCATCAGCGTACGTTGCTAGCATTTGGGTTGAGTTTGCGGGTCTTGGTGGCTGCGGCATGTCGGCAGTGTAAAGATTGTAGAGCACTGGGCCAAGTACGCTTCCCTGCGGCACTCCAGCGGTTATGTGCATTAGGCTTGAGGTGATGTTGTTACAGCAGACGACTTCGAAGCTTCTGTCTGAGAGATAGCTGGTGAGTAGAATGTATAAATTGTCAGGTATTATCGTTTTAACTTTGCAGAGAAGACCCTGATGCCAGACTCTTTCAAAAGCTTCCTGGATATCCATGTACACAGCACTGCAATGCCGCTGCGCTTCGTAGGATCTGAGGATAAATTGCGTGACTCGTCCGATTTGCTGTTCCGCTGAGTGCTGACTTCTAAAGTCAAATTGATGGTTTGGAATAGCCATGGCAAAGCTTTCTTCTTCAAAGAGTCGCTTGAGGATGAGGCGTTCAAGGATTTTGGAGAAGCCTGTAAGCAGGCTGATGGGTCTGTAGGCCTATCACTCGGCTTTCCTGGCTTCCTTAACATAGAGATTTTTGCGCATTTCCAGGACTTTGGGAAGTGGCCGAACTGCAGAGCCGAGTTGCATATCAACAGCAGATACTCGATGGCAGAGATTTAATGACGCGATTGTCGATACTGTCGAAATCGGGTGCCTTTTTCGTCTTGAGCTTCTTAATTTCCGATTTGAGTTTCTGGATGGTCACAGGTCTGATTATTTGAGCAGCTTCATCTGGACCGTTTTCTTGTAATACTGCGTTAATTTCTTCTCTGTCTTCTAGGGCTGCCGTGATCTTTGGCGTGAAACGTGCTTCCAGGTGCTGCGCAAAGGCCTCAGCTTTTTCCTCCGTAATTTTGCACCAAGGATCAGCAGGAGCTTGCTGCCCTTCCGCCACGTGCCTTCTGACTGGCAGATGTGGAATGGGCTGTCTCTTGATTGTGTTGGTGAGCCGCCATAGTTTCTGCATGCTGTACCTATCAGTTGGGTCGATGTCGTGTAGCAGTCTGTTCATTTGTTTGTCTTTTTATACCCGATACTCAAAATGAGTATTGGGGTATATTAGATTTGTGGTAAAAGTGGATGTGTGTAACGTCCAGAAGGAATCGTTTCCGACCCCATAAAGTATATATATTCTTGATCAGCATCAATAGCCGAGTCGATTGAGCCATGTGTGTCTGTCCGTCTGTCCGTCCGTCCGTCTGTCCGTCCCCTTCAGCGCCTAATGCTCAAAGACTATAAGAGCTAGAGCAACGATGTTTTGGATCCAGACTTCTGTGATATGTCACTGCTACAAAAATATTTCAAAACTTTGCCCCGCCCACTTCCGCTCCCACAAAGGGACGAAAATCTGTGGCATCCACAATTTTAAAGATACGAGAAAACCAAAAACGCAGAATCGTAGAGAATGACGATATCTTTTAGACTGCGGAATCTGAATTGGATCGTATTATTATTATAGCCAGCATCAAGAAAACAATTTCATTTTTTCTCGCCCTGTCTCTCTTTAACACACACGTAGCATAGGCGGCTTTGCTTATAGTAAAACATTAGCGCCTAGATCTCAGAGACTATTAAAGCTAGAGCAACCAAATTTGGTATCCACACTCCTAATATATCGGACCGAGACGAGTTTGTTTCAAAATTTCGCCACACCCCCTTCCGCCCCCGCAAAGTATGCAAATCTGGGGATATTCACAAATCTCAGAGACTATTAAAGCTAGAGTAACCAAATTTAGTATCCGCACTCCTGTTAGATCTCACTATAAAACGCATATCTCAAAATTTCGCCCCACCCCCTTCCGCCCCCACAAAGGACGAAAATCTGTTGCATCCACAATATTGCAGATTTGAGAAAACTAAAAACGCAGAATCATAGATAATGACCATATCTATCAGATTGCTGAATCTGGATCAGATCAGATCATTTTTATAGCCAAAAGGAACAAATCAATTTGCAGTGGCTACGCAGCGCCCGACGTCACGCTCAGACTGATTTTCTGTCTCTCTCGCACGCACTCTTTGTCGTGTCGTTTAATATTAGCGGCGCTGCCGGAGGAGAGCCATACTGACTTAGTATCGGGTATAACTGTAGAGTTGCGGTGTCCGCAGCAACTCACAACGTTCCCCCTCGTTGTAGCTTGATCCGTTTACGTATTCTGTTAGTCAGCTGATTGATAGTGCGTGCAATGAGGGGGTTGGAGCACCTATCTTTTTGGTTGATTTTGCAGAGAATTCTTTTGATCTTGATCGCTTTCAGCGTTTGCGAGTCAAGATGAAAGTTTTGCGATCCGTACACTGTGTGCGGGTTACTTGAGGTTTGCGAAGCCAATTCAGCTGCAATGTAAATGTTCTTTTCAAGGAAAGCCACTGCATCATCTATGTCGTCGCCGTTGTGATGTTCAGTCTCCAGATGGATTCGCTGTTCTAGGTGAGCTTGAAATCTTCTGATATTTGCATTTTTTGGTAATAGTATCTTCTTTTTTCCATATTCAGGTCTCAGGAGGAGTTTAATGATTTGCATGTTGTGATCTGAACCTAAGTCATATGATGTTTCAATGTGAATTAAATTGTGTCTAATACCCTTATAAACCGCAAAGTCTATAGCAGACGGCATATGTCGTCGATTTGAAGGGAAATGGGTGGGGGATCCAGTGGCCAGTATGCTTTGGTCGTTTTCCTGGATGCATTTCAGAAGTGCAGCCCCTCTTCTACACGATCTTGCAATGCCCCGCCACTGGCTTTTGGCGTTCCAATCCCCAGCTACGATAAATCTGCTACCCAGAGAGTCAAATACCTGTTTAAATTGTGTATCAATCCATTCGTGTGCAGGTGGACAATAGATCGCACCAATGTTTATTGTTTGATGGTTTTTTATTTTTGCAGCTATGGTGCACATCTGGATGGAGTCCTCTCTTGTTGGTGCGAGGGAAATGTGCGGGATGTTGTTTCTGTTGTGTTCGTCTTGCGAACTAAATTGGTAGTCTCTCTTCATGTCGAACCAATTTCCATCGCCACCTGCATTAGCAGGGGGCAGGGAGGCTGACATGAAGAGAGAACCGTTTTATTTGTTTATACTCTTATAATTCGCATATTTTACAAATTGTTTCGCGCCAACTGCTTATCTACATTACATGTAGTTGCAAAAGTGGCTGTAAATTGGCAGGGTAGCATTTGTTACGGTATTGGCTTATTTAGTATTTTTTTTTTTTTAGTAGCTATCGATAATTTGCCTAAATGCCAGGGTAACACTAAACTTATTGCTACTTTGTTTACATTGTTTTTGTTTTTAATTATTTCAGGTGGAGTATGCAGCCGTGAAGAACATCATTACGCCTATTGGTCTCGTCGACGGCAGCGAAGTGGAATCCTTGCGAGTGTCGGCGCTAAACTGTGACTGCAGGACAGCATCAACAGGGCTGAAGCTGGCCGAGGTCCAGTGCATCGTCATTCTGGATGTGGATTACCAATTTCTGTGAAGGTGAAGTGGCTTCGTATCTGTGGAAGAATAAAAAGGTTTTTAGTTTCTTTTCAGCCGCCGCCATCATCTGGATTCTGGAGCTGCCGCCGTCCATCATCAGGTTCTCTGCTGGGGACGTCATTTGCCTGCGTAGCAGCTGCATTAGCGCTACTGCGGCTGATTTCCAATTGTGTGTTGCGAATGGATTGCGCAGCCAGTTCTCGCGTCTGACTTGGAGCAATATTGTTTGGATGGCTTCTGTCAGGCTTCTGTTGCTGTTTGGATTGTGCTCTTCTATCATTGCGACATACCTTGGCCTGGCCAGCCTTCTTGGAATGTGTGGGTGCGTTGCGATCTCACAGGCAAGTAAATTTGTGTGCTGCATTAGCCGAGTGTAGCAGTTCCTGCAGAGTCTGTTATAAACTTCTTCCACAGTTGCTACTTGGAGATCCGCATGCAGTGCGTTGTTGCTCACATACCGGGGAGCATTTGTCATTGCTCTGAGAGCTTTGTTTTGGATCGTCTGGAGCTTGGCCATTTGCATGCTTGAAGTCAGTGGTCCCCAGACTGGCATGGCATACTGCCATATTGGGGCAATCAGCTGCTTATAGAGGAGGACCTTTGGAGGTAGTGGGAGTTTACTGTTTCTGCCGATGATCCAGTCGAGCTTTTTGATCCGGGCCCTTGTTTTAGTGACAATAGCCGCTACATGCTTATTGAAAATGAGCTTCGTATCCATATGTATTCCCAGGTATGGCATGACGGATTTTTTGGCCAGAAGTTGCCCGGCTAACCTTGGAGCTGGAGTGTGTTGCTGCACAGGTGAGAGAGTGTGTAGAACATGAGCAGTTTTTGCAAGACTGGTGGTTATTCCCCATTTCTTAGACCATGATAATGCATCAGTCAGGAGCCGCTCCACATTTTCGTTGGCTTGTTTTGGACTTAGGGCAGATACGAGGTACTCTGCGTCATCAGCGTACGTTGCTAGCATTTGGGTTGAGTTTGCGGGTCTTGGTGGCTGCGGCATGTCGGCAGTGTAAAGATTGTAGAGCACTGGGCCAAGTACGCTTCCCTGCGGCACTCCAGCGGTTATGTGCATTAGGCTTGAGGTGATGTTGTTACAGCAGACGACTTCGAAGCTTCTGTCTGAGAGATAGCTGGTGAGTAGAATGTATAAATTGTCAGGTATTATCGTTTTAACTTTGCAGAGAAGACCCTGATGCCAGACTCTTTCAAAAGCTTCCTGGATATCCATGTACACAGCACTGCAATGCCGCTGCGCTTCGTAGGATCTGAGGATAAATTGCGTGACTCGTCCGATTTGCTGTTCCGCTGAGTGCTGACTTCTAAAGTCAAATTGATGGTTTGGAATAGCCATGGCAAAGCTTTCTTCTTCAAAGAGTCGCTTGAGGATGAGGCGTTCAAGGATTTTGGAGAAGCCTGTAAGCAGGCTGATGGGTCTGTAGGCCTATCACTCGGCTTTCCTGGCTTCCTTAACATAGAGATTTTTGCGCATTTCCAGGACTTTGGGAAGTGGCCGAACTGCAGAGCCGAGTTGCATATCAACAGCAGATACTCGATGGCAGAGATTTAATGACGCGATTGTCGATACTGTCGATACTGTCGAAATCGGGTGCCTTTTTCGTCTTGAGCTTCTTAATTTCCGATTTGAGTTTCTGGATGGTCACAGGTCTGATTATTTGAGCAGCTTCATCTGGACCGTTTTCTTGTAATACTGCGTTAATTTCTTCTCTGTCTTCTAGGGCTGCCGTGATCTTTGGCGTGAAACGTGCTTCCAGGTGCTGCGCAAAGGCCTCAGCTTTTTCCTCCGTAATTTTGCACCAAGGATCAGCAGGAGCTTGGTGCCCTTCCGCCACGTGCCTTCTGACTGGCAGATGTGGAATGGGCTGTCTCTTGATTGTGTTGGTGAGCCGCCATAGTTTCTGCATGCTGTACCTATCAGTTGGGTCGATGTCGTGTAGCAGTCTGTTCATTTGTTTGTCTTTTTATACCCGATACTCAAAATGAGTATTGGGGTATATTAGATTTGTGGTAAAAGTGGATGTGTGTAACGTCCAGAAGGAATCGTTTCCGACCCCATAAAGTATATATATTCTTGATCAGCATCAATAGCCGAGTCGATTGAGCCATGTGTGTCTGTCCGTCTGTCCGTCCGTCCGTCTGTCCGTCTGTCCGTCCCCTTCAGCGCCTAATGCTCAAAGACTATAAGAGCTAGAGCAACGATGTTTTGGATCCAGACTTCTGTGATATGTCACTGCTACAAAAATATTTCAAAACTTTGCCCCGCCCACTTTTGCCCCCACAAAGGACGAAAATCTGTGGCATCCACAATTTTAAAGATACGAGAAAACCAAAAACCCGGAATCGTAGAGAATGACGATATCTTTTAGACTGCGGAATCTGAATTGGATCGTATTATTATTATAGCTAGCATCAAGAAAACAATTTCATCTTTTCTCGCCCTGTCTCTCTTTAACACACACGTAGCATAGGCGGCTTTGCTTATAGTAAAACATTAGCGCCTAGATCTCAGAGACTATTAAAGCTAGAGCAACCAAATTTGGTATCCACACTACTAATATATCGGACCGAGACGAGTTTGTTTCAAAATTTCGCCACACCCCCTTCCGCCCCCGCAAAGTATGCAAATCTGGGGATATTCACAAATCTCAGAGACTATTAAAGCTAGAGTAACCAAATTTAGTATCCGCACTCCTGTTAGATCTCACTATAAAACGCATATCTCAAAATTTCGCCCCACCCCCTTCCGCCCCCACAAAGGACGAAAATCTGTTGCATCCACAATATTGCAGATTTGAGAAAACTAAAAACGCAGAATCATAGATAATGACCATATCTATCAGATTGCTGAATCTGGATCAGATCAGATCATTTTTATAGCCAAAAGGAACAAATCAATTTGCAGTGGCTACGCAGCGCCCGACGTCACGCTCAGACTGATTTTCTGTCTCTCTCGCACGCACTCTTTGTCGTGTCGTTTAATATTAGCGGCGCTGCCGGAGGAGAGCCATACTGACTTAGTATCGGGTATAACTGTAGAGTTGCGGTGTCCGCAGCAACTCACAACGTTCCCCCTCGTTGTAGCTTGATCCGTTTACGTATTCTGTTAGTCAGCTGATTGATAGTGCGTGCAATGAGGGGGTTGGAGCACCTATCTTTTTGGTTGATTTTGCAGAGAATTCTTTTGATCTTGATCGCTTTCAGCGTTTGCGAGTCAAGATGAAAGTTTTGCGATCCGTACACTGTGTGCTGGTTACTTGAGGTTTGCGAAGCCAATTCAGCTGCAATGTAAATGTTCTTTTCAAGGAAAGCCACTGCATCATCTATGTCGTCGCCGTTATGAAGTTCAGTCTCCAGATGGATTCGCTGTTCTAGGTGAGCTTGAAATCTTCTGATATTTGCATTTTTTGGTAATAGTATCTTCTTTTTTCCATATTCAGGTCTCAGGAGGAGTTTAATGATTTGCATGTTGTGATCTGAACCTAAGTCATATGATGTTTTCAATGTGAATAAATTGTGTATAATACCCTTATAAACCGCAAAGTCTATAGCAGACGGCATATGTCGTCGATTTGAAGGGAAATGGGTGGGGGATCCAGTGGCCAGTATGCTTTGGTCGTTTTCCTGGATGCATTTCAGAAGTGCAGCCCCTCTTCTACACGATCTTTGCAATTGCCCCCACCACTGGCTTTTGGCCGTTCCAATCCCCAGCTACGATAAATCTGCTACCCAGAGAGTCAATACCTGTTTAAATTGTGTATCAATCCATTCGTGTGCAGGTGGACAATAGATCGCACCAATGTTTATTGTTTGATGGTTTTTTATTTTTGCAGCTATGGTGCACATCTGGATGGAGTCCTCTCTTGTTGGTGCGAGGAAATGTGCGGGATGTTGTTTCTGTGTGTTCGTCTTGCGAACTAAATTGGTAGTCTCTCTTATGTCGAACCAATTTCCATCGCCACTTGCATTAGCAGGGGCAGGGAGGCTGACATGAAGAGAGAAACCGTTTTATTTGTTTATACTCTTATAATTCGCATATTTTACAAATTGTTTCGCGCCAACTGCTTATCTACATTACATATAGTTGCAAAAGTGGCTGTAAATTGGCAGGTAGCATTTGTTACGGTATTGGCTTA